TTACCGAATCAGTAATAAATCCCCAATATCAAGTTCACGAGTTCCCGTATTGTATGACATTAGTCTCCCGTGGAAGATACTGCTGTGTAATTTTTTTTACGTCAATGTTACACTAGTGTAATACCGCTAGACATATGACGTCATAATGTTTTACAGTTATGACACCACAATGCTAATACCTCTGTCACAATGGTATTAGACCTGGCATGACTCGTGGAAAGCTGAAAGTCATCACACTATTAGTAGGCAGTTTCTATCAGTTTATGCTGGAGAGTAATAAACAGAATACTAAACTCGATTCTGTGAAATACCATTTTATTTAACTCGTGAAGGATTTAGTACCAAATCATTAACTCGTTTAATAAAAATGCTATTCACGTAAGGTAGTTTAGTATCCTCTATGTATCACCATGTTTCCATTAATCTGTGTGTGGCCCACCCAGTCAATCAGGTATGGCATTTTAGAAGCTACACGTCTATGACGTGTTCATGTACGCAGATGACTCGAAATTGACTCGAAAATGTGCAGATTTATGTTCACCAGCAGACGCCGTTGATCATTCTCCTAGTCACCTGATCACCTCTAAGGTGGTTGTTTTGATTTTGGTGTGAACTCCAACGAGAACAGGCAGATATGTATTCAGACTTTTGTATATATCAACATGGGGAAATCCATCTTTGGAGGGCAAGAATCGATCGGGAGTTTCAAGCGACCTCATTCACTTTGTCGCGGTACACAGGTATGAGGTATTATACGGATCGGTCTCCGCATAGTTTTGCTGTCACTAACTCTGCTACTTGACACTGGAGATATTGAACCTAATCTCGGACCCCCTAAGACAGCTTCTGTACCGGGAGATCGTGTCCAGCGCAGACTATCTGCTCAAAATGTAATAGCAGTTTGTTTTGACAGATCCATTCAGTCAGTCACTCTCTCTGATCGCGCTGTAACGCATAGTTCGATTCTGGCACAGATCACATCGCTTAATGTTCCAGATTTTATGTCCACTTCACACCATCGTGAACGGTACACTTACAGAATACCGGATACCTAATTATATACATTGTACATTTTATTGTGCGCGTGAGGCTCCTATATATAGAAGAAACAGAGAGCGCGAGCCTGCGAGCGATCCAATAAAAATACGAATTTAAGGTAAAAAATAAGGTTAAAATCGAATTCCTCACCTTACTTCCGGTTTAGGAAACCTCAACAGGGGATTTTAACAGCGTTCAATGACGTAAACAGAGTAAAAAGTAATCGTGTGTTAAAATTTTATTCAAATGCATATTGGAAAAGGAACTCTACAGTGCGGGAACACTCTGATGGTAAGTGTTTTTTGATTGGTAAGGTAAGGTAGGTAAGGCTTTTAAATAAAGGGGGGTACCCCCTTTACCCCCAATATTTTACCTTTTTTTAGCTTTAATATTGTCTAATATTTAATATTTAATATTGAACGCTGCTTCGACACAGCCTTCATTCATGGCGTGCCGTTGCTAAGGAAACAAAACGGAAGTGCGCAAAAAGAAATGCGCAATCAAAAATAAAAATGGCGGATAGGTATCCGGTATTCTGTAATCTTGCCAGAGTATCTTAAAGTTTTCGTTTTTCAAAGAACAATATCAAGTTTAAAGGCTGATAGGCAATGCTTGAAAGGACTTGACTTTCGAGTCACTGAGGATTTCACGGAGACAGTGGGAAAGGTATATTCTCGATTATCTCCCTTGATGATAAAAGACAGGAGAGGATAACAGATGTACCTACTTCAGCTATGATAAACGGATAACTGATGACACTATGTACACATGGGAAGAGGTTTCAAATATACCATTGGAATGCTTACATGTTTTTCACTATTAAAGATAAGTTGCCTCCCTTTACCATCTTCCTGGTGTTTGTTTATATTCATCCTGAGCGTTCACCCACATACAGTTCATGTTTAGAAAATGGTATTGATTATTTAGAACAGCTGATGCACATCATTCATGACTACAAGGAAGCATGTACATTTATCATATGTGGAGACTTTACTGCTAGAACTGGGTGTGAACTGAACCATATTTTAGGTGATGGGGTTGAATATTTACCAGCGGATGGAAATTATAATTCTGACTATTTTAGTTGTGTCTAAGATACGAAACTAATTTGACACAAATGTGAACAACTTTGGTAGAAGTTTATTGGACATCTGTAAGCTATATGGGGTACATATTTTGAATGGGAGATGGATAATAATGTTAATTATACCTCCATCTCCTTTGTCTCCGGTTGCAGTGTTGTTGCTGATTGTTTTTTGTTTGTGTCTACAGATTGTTTTCCAAAGATTTTAGATATGTCAGTTACACAGCATACAGAGTCGGATCATTTAACTATGGCGTGTACTTTCAAAGATATTGTTGCTGTTGGGGATTACAAAGAAAGTTCAGTTATTATTACTTTCACATGTTCCTAAATTTAAATTAAGCCCTTAACATGTTTCCTCTTATGTTAAGCATTTCAGTAGCGATATTTGTAAAGATGTGTTTGAAGAATATCTTTTAATGTGAATGCAGCACTACACACGCTCAGAGATATAATATTATATTGAGCAAAGTCAGCTGTTGCCATTTCCAATGGATTTGCATTTAGGAACACATATCAGCCTCCATGGTTTGATAAGGAGTCTGATTTATTAAAGTCAGAGATATACAGATATTTGGCTAAATTTAGAAGCTGCAAATGTGATTCTAACTTAAGGGAATATATTACTGCCAAAAATATATATGAGAATTGTTGCACGCAGTAGAAAATGGACTGTAACTTTAAGCTAAATGAAGAAATCAATTTGGCCGGGGAAAACTGACTGTAAACACTTGTGGAAGACAGAAAAAAAATCAACACAGGGACGCTCACAGAGGTGAGGTGAGGTGAAATTGGGTTTTACGTCGTGCTTGAGAATATTTCGCTCATATGACGACGTGCATGCGTGTGTATGTGTATGTGTGGCTGCTTGTACTAGCCCAGACTTAGGCTGGTTTTATAGTGCTAGCCCACTGAGATACCATGCCGCAGTGAAACATGAATACCCCACTCAGTCACATTATACTGACTCCAAGCCGACCAGTCCTTGTTGTACCCATTAATGCCGAGCGCCAGGTAGGGACCAACAAGTACCGTATTTTAACGTCTTTTGGTATGACGCGGTCGGGGATCAAACCCGCGACCTTCCGCTCTCCGGGCGGACGCTCTAACCACTACACCACGGAGGTGGTCCACAGAGAAGTTATATATCCCCAAGTGACTGGCCTGTTTACTTTAGGGTTCTACTTAACCCTATACAAGAAACCGATTATAATAAAACGTTTGACTGTGATAATAATACGAACTGACTGCCTTTCAACACCCAGTGGTGTAAGACAGGACTCTATTGTAAGTCCTTTACTGTTTATATTCTTCATAAATGAGCTTGCAACTGAAGTACAAAATAGTAACAGTCATGGGATATTTGTTACAGAAGAAATTATGGACATAATGCAATTACTCTTTGCTGGTGATGTTGTAATGTTTTCTCTTTTTGTTTTAATGGCTTGCAAAGACAGTTGAATGTCTTACAATCCTATTATACCAAATGGGCTTTAGAAGGAAATCTTAGCAAAACCAATGTTATGTTTTTTTAAAAATGATGGTGTTGTTGCAAAAAATGGAAAATGGTTTCTTGGTTCATCTGTCTTAAACGTAGTCACTTATTACAAATATTTAGGTCTTATGTTTTCTTCTAGACTGATATCGCTGTGGTATGTGAGCAAATAGCTACCTAAGCAAATAAATGCATTATGCCCCTATATTTTATTAGCGAAAATAGATTTGTATCTTTCCTCACATTGAGTTCCATTTTTTAAGGAAAAAACATGCCTGTTCTTCTATACTGTCTATTAAACAGAATACTAAACTAAACTGAAACACTGTCGTTTACGGGAAGTAGAGGGCGTCTTAATAATACAAATGTATGTGAAACATATTCTAATGTAAGGTATAAATGTCTGCCTATGGTGCGGGATAGATTTAAACACCGTCAGCTAATGATAAATCTTTTAAACTCAAATAATCCAGATCTGATCCTTGTTGTTTCTGTTTTTTTAAATATCATCAAAGTTCAATATGTAATTTGTATATCACGGGGTAAATGTTAATTTGTTATCTGCATTTGTACAAGGGGCCTTGAGTCTGAAGTACTGAAAATATACTGTCTGTCTGTCTGTCTGTCTGTCAGTTGATCATTCCATGGAATTGAGCAGGATGTTGGACTCTGGACGGGGCAGTTGAGTAATCCGCAGATTGAGCAGTTCCTTAATCTACACACGACAATATATTCCTACGCTACAGCGACTAAGTCAAAGTCGGCGTTTTGTCAGGTAAATCAACAGTCGTAGGTGTAATGAGGGTGCTGACGACACAAACATGGGTTTTAGTAACACACTTATTTAATACTGACAGAACTAAACATGGACGATAGAACCGGACTGCATAACATATAAAACCTCAAATAGTGACATAAAGGGATGTTACAAAGAGGCACCATATATATACACGTTTTGAAGGCCACAGTCTTGTGGCTGAAATATTGAGAACGTTTAATTGAAACTAAAAATTCGTTTCGGCTCCTTGATAAATGGTCTCACTTAACATCTGTCACCTAAATTTTAGTATACTAAAATATTACCACTTCACATCACAAAAAACACGTGAAGATCCGGGTAAGAACCCAATTCATGCTTGCCGTAAGAGGCGACTAACGGTATCGGGTGGCCAGGCTCTCTGACTTGGTTGCCACATGCCATCGTATCCCAATTGCGTAGATCGACCATGTTGTTAGTCACTGGATTGTCTGGTCTTGATTTGATTATGTACAGACCGCCGCCATATAGTTGGAATATTGCTGAGTGCGGCGTTAATCAACAACCAACCAACATCACAAAAATACACCCGTTATGGGTTTGTCACTGGGTGAACATGCACTTACTTTTCTGACAGCCCGTCCCAGTGTATCCATCCTTGCACCCACTCTCACAGTGTCCAGTGGTTTTGTCACACACCTCAGATGTGTTCCTACAGTAGCACCAGGAACTACAGCCAGACCCGAAACTCCCGTCAGCACACTCTGGAAAGAACACATATTGGTAGTTTGGTGTAACTGATGAATGTTACATTCACATATAATATCATAATCGAAATTTTTATAACAATAAACTTCAATCCATTCAACAAATATGTCATGTTCAAATACATGATGTTATTCTGATTTGTTTACTATTATCACTACACACATTACCACATCGAGCCCTTATTGGTTGGTATCTGGGCAATCTGCTTTCCTGACAGCCTGTCCCAGGGTATCCATCACGGCACCCATTCACACAGTATCCAGTGAGAAAATATCAGCATGCATGATTTACCATGGATTTCCACTTCACAGAGATTGAGAGTTTACTTCGCACGTCCACTGTTGGCAGTTCAACAGCGGTGCGTTGTCCAAGTGTAGACATTTATTGGTAATTTCTTTTGCACGCGGCGAGTTAACAGATTCAAGTTTGAAAATAATAATAACGGTACGATTATTATACAAGTGGCGTCAAATTACTATGACATATGTTATTCTAATCGAATAAATATTTCACATATATCTATTTGTGGTCGACAATATAAACAGACAGAAAATATCAGCATGCATTGTTTACCATATATTTCCACTTCACAGAGATTGAGGATGTAGTGTGAGCCGGCCAATGTTGGCAGCTGGACAGTGACATATTGTCCACGTGTGGGTGTGTCACAGCTGATGTTGACGGGGGAGCTGGGACTGTTGGTCTGGCTCTGATAGCAGGGACGATCGTCAACCCGTACCAAGAAATTTCGGAATCGATCTAGAAACAAACATAAAACAACCTACAGGGAGATGTTTACAAACGGTATAATGTAAGCGGTCGGTTCAAACGATGCGGGATGCTATTGTAAGTAAGACTTTGGAAACCACGTGCATTAACGTCTATAGCATCAATGATGGTAAATGAGGTATGGCGCATGTGCTAATAGTATTATATGCATACTGGGCGAGAGATGGTGTTTTACGAGCGTACTACTACATCAATATAGACAGCACCAACTGCACCATCTGCGAGAAAACTACGAATCAGGCTAGCTATTCTCGAAACGTTCGGAGCTCTACGAACTTCTTAAGCCCCATTCTTAACACATTGGCTACGATCAAAGTTCAGAATTCTTAGGGCTACGAACGTTTCGAGAATAAGGGCCCAGGTTCAATTTAATTCATATTAGCGCAATTAGAACAAATGTTCGAAATTTATACATAAAACAGAAACTGCACTCAGCCGTCATTAATTGTAGAGTCAATTATCAATTGTCAGTACAATAAACAAACTTCAAACCTGTTCCGCGCGAAAGAAATAATAAACAGACTGACATTATGCGTCAACGCTGGAGAAAAACTACACCGTGTTATCCACCCAAACAGATTACTTTGGGCGTAAATTGGCAAATGGTTTGGAAACCTGCCTAACTGGTTGCACCCACTACACTCACGGGTATTCATATGCCCTGCCCTACTGGTTGAACCCGCCACATTCACGGGTGTTCACATGTCCTGCCCTACTGATTGCACCCACCACAGTCACGGGTGTCCATATGCCCTGCCCTATTGGTTGCACCCACCACGCTCACGGGTGTTCATATGTCCTGCCCTACTGGTTGCACCCGCCACATTCACGGGTGTTCACGTGCCCTGCCCTACTGGTTGCACCCACCACACTCACGGGTGTTCACGTGCCCTGCCCTACTGGTTGCACCCACCACACTCACGGTTGTTCACATGTCCTGCCCTACTGGTTGCACCCACTACACTCACGGGTGTTCACATGTCCTGCCCTACTGGTTGCACCCACCACACTCACGGGTGTTCACATGTCCTGCCCTACTGGTTGCACCCGCCACACTCACGGGTATTCATATGCCCAGCCCTACTGGTTGCACCCGCCACACTCACGGGTATTCATATGCCCTGCCCTACTGGTTGCACCCGCCACATTCACGGGTGTTCACGTGCCCTTCCCTACTGGTTGCACCCACCACTCTCACGGGTGTTCATATGCCCTGCCCTACTGGTTGCACCCGCCACACTCACGGGTATTCATATGCCCTGCCCTACTGGTTGCTCCCGCCACATTCACGGGTGTTCACGTGCCCTTCCCTACTGGTTGCACCCACCACTCTCACGGGTGTTCATATGCCCTGCCCTACTGGTTGCACCCGCCACGCTCACGGGTATTCATATGCCCTGCCCTACTGGTTGCACCCACCACTCTCACGGGTGTTCATATGCCCTGCCCTACTGGTTGCACCCGCCACACTCACGGGTGTTCATATGCCCTGCCCTACTGGTTGCACCCGCCACATTCACGGGTGTTCACGTGCCCTTCCGTACTGGTTCAATCCATCACATTCACGGGTGTTCATATGTCCTGCCCTACTGGTTGCACCCACTACTCTCACTACGTTTCCATGATACAAAAGTTGTTTGTTGCCTTACGGCGTATATTATAAACCTTTGTATACGGAATGTAATACTTCAGTTTTAATTTTTGGTGTCTAATTATCCTACAGATAAAGCATTTCTCAAGTGGTCAGTCACGAGTTATAACGGTACATTGTGTTTATAATACTTGCCTTGACGTAAGAAGAATATTGTGAGGTTAGTGATGAGGTGCGTCTCTCCCAGGTCCACTGTCCACCATGCTAATGTCTGGTTAAGTGCGGTGTGTGTACAAGTCCCTGACCAGTAGTTGCTGCTGACCACACCGTCCACAGCCAAGGAGGAATTCTTTTCTCCACACACCTCTCCCTTGGAGGTGTTCGCCCACTTACAGTCATTGAGAGTGCTGCTTTGTTGTGTTGGTCTGTTCAGAGCTATGTTCCCTGTTCAGAAACACATTGTTTGTGATTCAATGACATTTACTCCTTAATAAGACAGTGTTTTACCACAAAATTTAAATGAACAGCAGATTTGACATTCGGATCACAACATTTAAAGGAAGGTTCTTCTTTCTCAGACTTTAACAGACTAACAGAATGTCGGCATGTCGGCGTTTTGGGGATCACAAATTGAAATGTAGTACTATTCTACATCCGATTGTGACATTGCATGGGTCACAAAGTGTGCATGTAGAGTGTGTTGTTAATCTCGCATTTGACAACATATCAGCTATATGTGGGCGCCATGTGAATAATTGGGTGTGGACCAGATAATCCCCTGACTGAGATTGTTGGCACTTCCGACTGACCACAAGCTCTATTTAAACACAGTGGGGTATTCATGCTTCAATATCATGGGATGCCTTTTCAGAAAAAGTCTTGTCGCACGAATCATCTGTATGTATTCCTTTATCCTTTCTGGAGAACGTTTTACGTTCGCCGTCGTGGAAATATACTCTCGTGTAGTTGCCAAGATTTCACGAGATCTCACCTATCTTGGGTCCGCCATCCTTGTTGTTTACATCTCTTAGACTCCATTTTTACTTCCAAGGGGGTTTTCTATTATGTATGAATTACATTCTATAATTTTAACATATATATGGGTGTCTCAAAATTTGCCAACTTTTGGTCAGTAGGACATTGCTCTGAAAAAATTACTTCGTGTTTTTTTCAAAAGTCATATTATCAAAGAAACATGTTTTCTGTTCCTCATAATGATTTGAAATGTACCTGTTTGCTATTTTTGGGACAATTTGGGTTTTTTATCATCATTTTGAAAGAAAACCACTGTCAGTGCACAGCGACATTACTTTGCAGTATTATAAAGTTTACATCCCAGGCCATTTATATGTATATATATTACAGATTTAAAATGAAATACCAATATTAAAAACACATCCCTGCTTGAAATATTGAAAAAGAAAATCACCTAATTACGATGAAAACAATGAATGTCCAAAATGTTACAGTCAGTGGTGTAACGAATATAAACTTGTGACATGAATAATTATCTCCCTTGAGTAAAATATTACATGCTAACTGGTCCTTTTGCTGATGACTTCCTCCCAATGGCAGAAGTTTTGTGGAGCTCAAATTTTATTTTGATGTTGAAGTTTGATGCAATTGGTGATTCTAGTTTGTATCATAACCTTTTATCGAGTCATTTTTAAAACCTCTCCAGGTTTAGGTAAATTTGTTTTACTCCATCTTTGTCATAAAAATATGCTGTTAGCCAACCTGCTGTGGAGTCAAAAGTTGCTTTGGGTAGTATTTTACGCATTTACAATAACGATAACGTTATACAGAGTAAAATCTTTTCCCATATTTTTATACTAAAATATTGCCAATCTTATGGCGGAGTTCGGTCTTGACTGCCGTTGAGTGCGGACGTCTTTTGCTTGTCAGCAAATTGAATAGTAGCAAGGCATACTTGATGGTTTATGGTTGTTCCTTTTTGGTTGTGTTCTGCTTTTCTCATCTGTTGGAGTGTATTGAAACTTTTACTTTTATTATTTTTCGTGGGTTAGTCAGTCAGTTGTTGGGGATTTTCCTCGGCAATGTCTGACAACAGAATGGACTGTGAGGATGGTTTTAAAGTGGTGTCTTCAGGGAGGAAGCGAATCGGTCGCATACCGGATGGTTCTTCTAAGAAAGCTTGTGTTGTTAAGCAACCACCTACTACCTCTCATGCGTGGTCAGATCTCACCTTTGTTTATGATGAGCCAGTTCAGATGAAGTCAACCACTGTCATCATTAAGGCAGATGTTGATGATGATGATAATTCTCCAACCCTTTGTCAACTGATGACCCAGCGGGCTTTGGCTAGAGCTCTGGCTAAGGTTACAACTGAGATAGATAGTGTTAAGCGGATGGCCAGGGGTGATGTTTGTGTAACAACTAAATCCGTTGAGGCAGCCCATAAGCTTATGCAAATTACAGAACTTGCTGAACATTATGTTACACCGTATGAGCCTGAGTCACTAATGAGATCTCGAGGAGTTATTTATGGTGTCGACCTTGATGTTGAGATGAGTGAAATTGAGGAAGAAATAAAACCTGTTTTGCCTCTACTATACTCTGCGGTGCGTCTGACTCGTGGACCTGATAAAATCCCTACTAAATCCGTTTTGCTCACGTTTGTTGGTCAGTCTTTACCAGATCATGTTGTCCTTTTCTTTCAGAGATTTCCAATCCGGATCTATGTTCCCCCTGCACTGCGCTGCTTTAAATGTCAGTCCTTTGGCCACGTCTCTGCTAAGTGTAGGAGCACTCATCATGTTTGCGCTAAATGTGGAGGGAAGCACAAATATGAGGAATGCAATGAGAGTTCTCTTAAATGTAAAAACTGTGGTGGAGCTCACTCTGCTGCATACAGAGGTTGTCTTAAATATCAAGAAGCGGTCCAAATCCAGAAAGTTAGAGTTGAGGGGAAACTTTCTTATTCTCAGGCTGTTCGAAAGGTGCGCGGAGAATCAGATGTTGTTAAGGTTCCAATGGTTCAAAAACCACCTTCCGTTGCTCAACCACAGTCTCCGGTTGTTCCCATTCCTGCTGTGGTATCTCGTCCTGTCATGGTGACAGCAAGTACGCAGACTGACACCCAAGAGGTTGAATGTCAGACTGACTCTCTTACTGATCTTATGCATGAACCTTCTTGTACACCTCTGTTCAACAATGTCTCTCCAGTTGATTTTCTCAATTTTGTTATTTGCCTGGCTGCCAACCTTGGAACGAATCGTGCCTTCAAGTCTGATGGTCTACAGACGATAGCATCAGCTGCACATTCTCTGCTGGGGTTAAAGTTGTCCTCTGAGGATCTGACGAGCATGGTTAAGGGTCAACAATGGAAGTCATAATCCTTATTATGGCTCTCTTAATCCTTCAGTGGAATGCTAGGTCTATTAATGCTAATGGTCCAGGGTTTAAAGTTTTTGTCAACAATCTTGATCCCATGCCAGATGTTATATGTCTTCAGGAGACGTTTTTGAATCCTAATCAGCGATTCCGTTGGGAAGGATATGTCTGTCTACGTAAAGACCGTCCGATCGGGTCAAGAGGTGGTTGTGCTATACTCATAAAGGATTCGTTATCATTTAGTGAACTTAGGTTGCCACAGTCCGAAACAGAAGCGAATGCAGTTACTATCCATTTGAAGGATATGAGATCGGTCTCGATTTTTAATATCTACAATAAAGCTCATGCTTCCAGCGATGATTACTTTTCTCTTTTGAATGTGTCAGATAATCTTAAAGTATTATGTGGTGACTTTAATAGTCATCATCCGTTGTGGGGAGCTGTTAAGTTGGATGTTGGAGGTAAGGCCATTGAGACACTCCTTGATGAACAGAATCTTTTCCTTCTGAATGATGGCTCTATGACCCGGTATGACTTGGCTTCTGCTTCATTTTCAGCCCTGGATTTGACCATTGTCAGTCCACAACTAGCTCCACACTGTGATTGGGAAGTGTATTTTTGGGATTCTTTTGGCAGTGATCATTATCCTGTGTTTACCAGCTTTCAACTTGACCCGATAATAGAATTAAGAGTAACACCTCAGCGATGGACTTTCTCTAAAGCTGACTGGTCTGCATTTACTGCTTTGTGCTCTGACACTGTCACGCCAGCTATAAATTCGCTTGACCTTGACCAGTTTCATACCTGCTTTGTTTCTAACATTATTAATGCTGCTACTAGAACCATAGGCAGAAGTTCAGGTAAACGTCCTCTTAAACCGCCAGTATGTTGGTGGACGGATGCGTGTCAATCAGCACATGATGCTAGGAAGAGGGCAAAAAAACTGGTTGAAAAATCAGCTTTACCATCTGATTTGATGGAGTTTCGGCGTGTTTCCGCTTTCCTCAAACGAACTGTTACTGAAGCTAAACGTTGGTCTTGGTCTAAGTACACAAGTTCAATAAACAAAAATACACCTCTTTCTCAGGTATGGAGAAAAGTGAATTTTTTTTCTGGTAGTTCCTGTTCTAACCGTGCTATTCCATCTATTGGTAAAGACACACCAGCAACAACAAATATTGACATGAGTAATGCACTGGCAAAGTCCTTTCAAAAAGTATCTAGTACAGATAACTTTAATTCAGACTTCCGGCTCATTAAAAAGTCACTTGAATCAGAGTATTCTGATATCTTACACTGTCCCACACATCATATCGCAGACTACAACTCTTTATTTAGTTTGCAGGAATTAAGGAATGCCATCTCTGGACGAAAAAATACCTCTCCAGGTGACGATTTATTGTGTTATGATATGTTCAAACATCTGCCAATTATCAGCCTTGACACTATGCTTTTACTTTTTAATCACATTTGGTTTGAAAGCAAACTTCCCATTTCTTGGGAAAAGGCAATTGTAGTTCCTATTCCAAAGCCTGGTAAAGATCCTACTCAAGCCACATCCTACAGGCCTATTGCTCTTACCTCCAACATGTGCAAAATAATGGAGAGAATGGTAAATAACCGTCTGGTTTACTTCATGGAGAAGAACAATCTCTTTTCAGGTGTCCAGTCAGGCTTTCGAAAAAACAGATCTTGTGCTGATCATTTAGTGCGACTTGAAACCGAAATTAAAAAGCCACTGGGAAGCACTGAATTTCTACTGGCTGTTTTCATGGACATTGAGAAAGCCTATGACATGTTATGGACGGACGGTTTAGTAATAAAACTGTATAAGCTTGGAGTTAGTGGCCGCATGCTTGACTGGATAAAAGATTTCTTGAGGGATCTTGGAACTTCTCTGTCGGATGTATACATGTTAGAGAATGGAACACCTCAAGGTAGTGTCATCAGCCCAACCTTATTTAATGTTATGATTAATGACCTGTTTGAGAATATCGGTGAAATGGTCGAAACATCACAGTTTGCAGATGATGGAGCGTTGTGGAAAAGGTCCAGTAATTTTGACACAGTCTTTAACGGCATTCAACAAT